CAAAATTTTTCGTGGCCATTGTGAGCAATGAAATTTGATCACTTGTCGACAACGGATCTCATAGGGTGGCGTCTCGAATCAGGTTGAAAGATATTGCGAGGTGCCTTACAGTATCTGAAAGCACGCGATTGCTCCGTTTTGTTGGAGATATTCGCAACAACTGTGTCTTCTGTCCAATGCTGTTCATCCAATAGTCGTAACAGCGCATCGACCTGACAGATGTTGCTCGTCGTTCGTTATTTGATGGTGAAATCATACCCCAGCAGGGTTGTGATTCATCAGATGCCTGTTGCTGCACTCACTCTTGATGGTGAGACACTAGAGGTTACGTAGAGTTTTGCCTACCTGGGAAGTTACTTCTGTCAGTGGAACTGTTGTAGAGAAAATTTCGATGCACATCGCCAGAACTCGCCTCACTTTCTCTAAGCTATGACATCTATGGCACCGCCATAGCAATCGTCTATCCAGCAACGAGCGGCTTTACTGTGCGACTGTCTGCGCTGTGCTGTTGTGCGGTTGCGTGACTTGGCCTGTACGTACCGTAGACCTGCGCCGTCTCTCTGTCTTTGAGCACCGTTGCTTGCACTCCATTGCCCCTGTGTGGTGGCTGCACCACGCAATCAATGTGGAAGTTAGACAGCATGTCTTGGGTGTAGCAAGCCACTCGCTACGGCAGCTGCGGTGGTTTGGACATGTACTGCACATGTTCGCTCATCGTCCTCTGTGTCGGACGTTATTCACGGTTGCTGAACAGGACTGGATGAGGCGGCGCGGGGGACAACCTACAACATGGAGAAGCCACATGAAAAAGCCGATGAAACAGCTAGCCTCGGTCGGTTGTTTTTGACGCCCTGGTTAGGATTTCAGAGATACAGTGTCTCTGGTTGGAGACCCTGGAAATCATGGCTCCGAACCGACCTCAATGCCGGACGTGTATCGCTGCGTGTTGCGGTGTTTTCCTTTCCTGTCACCAATAAAAGAAACGACTAAAAATATTAAAAGCGGTAAATGGAAAACGGGTGAAAATATGGTGCATGTTCTGTTTTTTACTATTGGTTTCCTGTTTTATTATTCCGCCATGATTTTGATGGCCCAATATCTGTACAACAGATTGTGATCAATGTATACACTTGGATTTCCTTCTTCTAGCCGAGTGTATCGAGAAACGGTTTGTGGTCTGATGATAGGGTGGAATGTTGACCCTATGGCATTTTGCGGAAATTCTTCAACACAAACACGATGGCGTGAGCTTCCTTACTTTGACTTTCTGCTGCAGTCAGCGAACGAGCAGCGTAAGCGACAGGCTTCTCCGATCCGTCTGGAACAATATGCGAGATGACTATCCACTCCGTAACTGGTTGTATCAGATGCCACGACTATTGACAGTTTTGGATCATAGTGCGTCAGCATTAGCTCTGAACTTAACAACGACTTGATCTTGTCGAAAGCTTTTTGACTTACGGTCGTCCAGTTCCATGGGACGTCTTTCATCAACAGTTGGTTTAATTGTCCGCTTAGATTTTGCATTGACGGTAGATAGGTACCATAGTAACTCACCATACCAAGAAAAGATTTCTATATCACTTTGTCCTTTGGTGGTGACATGTTCTTGATTGCCTTGATGTTTGACGGATCCGGTTGTCGATTTTTGATCAATGATAAAACCAAGATATTTAACGTACGTCATAAAGAACTCACACTTATCCATTCTCAGCCAGAATCCATATTCGTTTATTCTGTCAAGCACGTCTCATGTGCGTCAGCTCAGTTCTTCTTGGCTAGATTCCATGATGGTGATATCGCCCAAGTATGCTGCGGTACATGCTATTCCTTGTAACATCGTGCCCATGACCTGTTTAAAAATTGCCGGGGCCGATTTGGTACCAAATGGTATACGCGTATATCGCAATAACCAGCGATGGGTCTTTATTGTTAGCAGCTCCCGCAATTCTTCTGAAATTTCAATCTAGTAGATATACATCAGAGAAGTCCAGTTTGGCAAAACTCTTGCCACCATTCAAGCGTGCAAAGAGATTTTCAGGAAGCGATAGCTGGTACTGGTTCTCTCCTAACGCAGCATTCAGGCCAGTAGAAAAGTCTGCACAGAGGCAAATCTTTCCGTTTGGCTTCATGACAATCACGATCGGGGCGGCCCATGACGAGTAATTGACCAATTTGATAACTCCGGCTTATCAATTTATTGGTCAAAGCCTGAAACGATCACATATGGAACTAGCCGCTTCGGTGGGCAGGCTGGCTTCGCCTTTGCCCACAGCGATAGACTAGTCTTGGTTTTTCTGCCATTTTAATTGTCTCGTGTCTGCAACCATTAAGTAGGTACCTGCAACTTTGTCTTTTTAATCGGCCAATCGGAGTGGTCTGGTTTTGGAACAGCCAATCAGAGCGGCTCATCGCGACTTTGGTGACCATAACACTTAGGGACTCTTGAGACTAGTTCTAGCATGGTAAACATGTTTCGCGGACATAGACACTTGAGTGCTGATTGTCAAGTACACATGCCTTGTTATAGTCGCTTTAGGCATCGTTTCCACTCACTCGAAGCAACGCTGGAATAGTAGAGTTTGCACCACAAAATCACTTAACGTAGGCAAAGAACTTCGGATTGGCTGGAGCGTTGTCAGCGTAGCCCTTCTCACACGGAAGCTGGGCCAACTTAAGATGTACTTACATTTATTCCGGACCACCCCGATACCTGTCAAACGTGCTGGTCGATGGAGCTGCTTGATACGTTCGCCAGCATCTAGACCGCTTCTTCAGCAGGCTCCTCCCCACGGAATCTATCCATGGTGGCTGCGTTCTCGACTCACTTTTCTAACCAGTATGCTGTGAGGTAAGCCTTCAAATTTTCCCACGCTGCCTGAACAGTGTCCATCTCAGAGATCGCACAAGACGATAATGTAGCGTTCTCTCGCATCGCTTTCAAATTCGCGTCCTAAATGTTAGGACGCCAACCGCTAGTACTTTGGTGAGACCTGGTAAGGGCACGCTGCAAAGACAAGCAAACTTCGTCGCTAGCCAAAGAGGTGAGCCGCAAGTAATATTATAAAGTCAAGCGACTTGCCGAAAACTAGATTTACGTTGAGCAGCTACCGATTGCTCATGTACCTAGGGGTCGCAGTCGTACCTGCAACGTCCAGTCCAGTAGGTCCGCAACGAATGATCCCAGCACCGAGTTGCAAGGTAGATAGATCTGTCTAGCAAATTTCAGGGAGATTAAATTCGCTTAGCACAAACACTTGCTCGCTGTGTAAGTGCGTATGAACTTGTCTCCTTAAAGATATTCATAGGGCTTTTATACATTACCACGACCTTAAACTGAACCGAAGAAGCACAAATCACGACTGCCTGAGCCTCAACAGATCTGTCTGGCGACTGAAAAACGTCTCTGCTCAACACATAAAGAGCTACACCACCCATATCGATGGCCGATGGAGTGGTCAGCACCAAAAAGTGCTTAACCAAGCAGATCTACTTCTCCGTCTGTGGTCTCTTCAGAAAACCACGTTTCAGTGAAGGCAACTAAATCTGAACGATATTCGGTTACGAGCAGACCCACATCGCGCATCTTGTTTCTTAGGTTACACACGTTGCTAAGTACTACTTGAATTATCACAGGACAACCAACACTGGATTGTGCGCAACCAGATTAGGTTTTGGCACTGCGGAAATGTACCGCTGGATGACCATCTGACCACCAGCCATTCAGAGACCTTGCTAGCTTCCTTTAACTTCAACCTACCAGCTAACAGAGTCAGGCTACACACTACTACCTTTGAGATTGAAGAAAAATCGCAGTAACGCCCTGCCCTCTTCTGCAGTGGAGAGAACCATTAAGCAGGCGGCGTCGAGGATTGGGTTCACCAACCAGAACCTTCCCCAGCCTGATGCGCTTTCTGACAGTAGCACCATCGCAACTTGGTGAAAAAAGCTTGGTCACACAAACTTTAAACCGACCAAAGTCATTAAGCATGTGCTCAGTGGGAAGGGCCGAAATGGATTCAGGGACGCTTTTACATATTGCACTGCTATCTGTGTCATAAACGCCCCAACTTGCTGTATTTGTCCCACCTGGTTTGCCATGTACACTGCTTGGCTTCATAACTGCGATCGGAGGGGAGGGCACCTAACGTTTCCTCAAGGGGATTTCGCCAGCCGGAGGTGGTGCCTCCTGCTCAGGCCGTTGTACTTTGCGCATTTGCTCATCTCTAGGCTTAGGGGTAGAGCTCTTAGGGTTTCCCTTGCATTTTTACGCTTATTCTCTTAGTCACTGGGCCCGTGACTCGCTTTCATCTTGAGCAGAGTCACAGATGCTATCCGGTTTATCTTAGTCGGTTACCTTCATGGTAACTGAAGCCTCTGGTAAGATCGCTACTCGTCAGACGGATAACAGATGTCCGCGTATGCACTAACAGCACTGGCGCATTCTGCTTCTGTGCTTATTCTCACCACCCATCCAGATCGGCCTCGATCTCTTCGGCAGTAGTGCGAACGGCATGCAGCACGCCACGTGGTGTTAACCATCCGCTTGTTTCATGCAGTGTGGTTCCTTACTAGGTGGTTGCTATAACTTCACCATTTAATCGCCTACGACGTATTTGTTTTGCATTGCTGTCCCTCGGGTCTACTGCGACCTACGTGCGCATTAGACACACGGGAACACCTTTTGAATCCTCGACCAGACGCATAATTCATTAGCGTAGCACATCCGGAAGTGTCCCTGTATCAGGCTAGCTGGCCATCGAATCTAGCGTAGGAGACCTATGTCGTTTCTCCTTGTCATCCCATTTCGTTTTCTGTCTTGGAACTCCCATCCATTCGTTTTCACGCCATTCACCCAGTCACCTCAGGCTCACTCGGCACCCGTGCCAATGACACAGCTTGCCACCAAGTGTAAGTCAGGCGCTCCAGGCAGCTCCATCTCTTACTCAGGTGTTCTAATGAAACTGTCCAACTGCTTACTAAGTATGTTTTTCATTTTAGCCCCTCCCCGTCGGTCTACTACGACCCACGCGTACGCCCTAGCCACGGAAGCCATCGGAACCCTTGACCAGACGGATTCTACACGCTCCGGCTTTTGCTAACTTTCATTAATGGCCGATCAGTCTCTCAACGATTCTCGTGATGAGTATGAGCATTACAACTACGAAGACGATAAGATTACCGGCTATAAAGGTGGAAAACACCGGACTAAAACAGAAATCGAAGAGCACCACAAGAAGGGAGATAATCGGAGCAATCGAATTCATGTCGATCATCAAATTAACAACGAAGAAAAGAATCGTGAGCAAAATTTAAAACATCCTTCCGATTCCAGCAATTAATTGGCTTCTCCTATCTTTTGTGTAACATAGCAAATCTATGTAAACCTTCCACGTTTGCTAATAAAATCATCGCTATTCCTATATAAACTCACTCTGGAAATTGTTTTCTCCAGTTATCTGCCTTCTCTAACTGCTTTGGTTTATGCTTGACTGCGAATCCTCGTGCGACCTGCGCCTGCCTATTTTACACCAAGTACATCGATTGACACTTGTATTCCGTGAGCTTTAGCTCCACATTACACATGCAATCCGCGCTACTGACGATTCCCGATAGGATAACACGGCCTTATATTGCTTGTCTGTACATGTGCTAGATGTCTAGCAGCATTGGCATGAAATTCAATTTACACCGTTCTTAAAATCGTTTGTCGCGCTCGATTCTTTTCTCCTGACGTGGCTGAAACTCTGCGTGTCTGTACGGTAGATTTTTTTCATGTACACACACACACACACTAGGACAAGATGTATTTACCATACCAGCTGTTTGGCGCTGAGGTTCTCCTATTCCTTTCCTTTTGTTTCTAGTCACTTTTTCCGTAGCTATTTAGCGCGTTTTTCTTTATTCATTTAATCGCCTGTGTCGTCGATTCCCTCCGGGCCGCACCCATTTGTACAATGCGAATTGCAGGTTTCTTAACTGTTTTTCTCTCGTTCAGCGAGTAGCAACTTCATGTATTATTTGCATCTGCTTATTCAGCGACACCTCGTGGTTCATCCTTTCTTGCGCATTCTCATGGCACCCTTCGGTTACAAAAAGGCCGAGTCTCTTCAACCAATTGTTCTGTACTGGACGTTGTTCTCTGATGTACTGAAATCTACTACCACTTTAATCCGTATTTCAGGATCGATGAGACTAGCACTTCGGTTCTCTAGGTTAGGGTTTGGGACTGGTATGGTATCCGTTTCCGTAATACCGGGTCGTTTCCAGCAGGCTGCACTCGCATGCACATTGGACACCTTGAGTGTCAACTTGTGTTGCGTATCCGAAGGTAGCATCCGTGGCCTTCACACGGTTAGCGAACTAATTGCCCAACATTTCTTCTCGCTATTTGATTACGCACATCTTGGAGCATTGATGTAGTAGTCACATTAACTCTAATCGGTTCCGTTATTTCTTCAAAGCGTGGTCTTCGGTGGTTTATTGGGTTCAAACAGAAATTCGATGCTCTGAATGTTGCAAACCACAGTCATTAGCACACCATCTGCTGCATCGAGCAGCGTGAATAGAGGCGAGGATGCAACTGCTCAGGTCTTCTTGTTCCCTTATTACTTCTCTTGCGCTTCTTTGCCTTTATCGTCCTCTTCTAACTTCACTCATCCCCCTGTTTCCAGCCCTTTAATTCATGGTTATCTTGCTTCGATAGTCGTTTGTCTCCTAATTCTGACTCATACGCAATCGCAGTGTGTCGCTCCGATCCAGTCGACATAAACATGATTCCAGATCCAACCATACCATTCCTGTTTTGAGCCGTCGATTCTCGCTAAGGCTGGTGTACTTCAGCATGCACATTTTGTTACAAATTAGTTAACAGGCAGCCCTTGCTCCTACAGTAGAGACCCTATCGACCAATACCTGCTTTTTTATCGGAAACGCACTTTCCCGCAGAACTCGTGCTTTTTGCTTACTCTGAGATCCCCCACATTCGCCACTGGCGGCACTTTCTCATTGCACATGGTCGTGTAGCGGCCTCTGAGAATCAAAAACGAAGACTGGGCTACGATCAGAATCTATTTGGATCAGAATGCAACGTATTATTTAAAGGGTAATCTACACTTTGTTGAGCGATCCCAGTTTGCTCTTCCTTGATTGGCTGCTTCTGACGGAAACAGCATCGATCGAGCCAGTTGGTCGTGCGGGCTTACAAAGCGATTCTCGCTCACGCGTGTAGGCGTTGCTGCTCGACTGGCGGCGGACAATCGATCGAGCGGCCTCTTGCCTGTCCGTTCCGAATACGTAGTCGAAAACAAACAGCTGCTCTTACCATACTCCTATCACACCCTTGCTTTTTTCAGTTCGGGCTCCTTCGGTGTTGCAATTTCTTACGCTCTTCCGCTACTTGTCATTTCCGTCACCTCTGCTTTCCTGCGGGTTTTGTCACTTGCTTGGCATCACACTCCTTGGCGGATCCTGTCTCACATGAATACAGTTTCGCCGGTGCAAATCCTTTCTCATCTTGATTAGATACTTTATTTCTCCCACCCACGTTTCTACCACTTTCTCTTCCACAGTTTCACTGTTCCGGGTGCCACTTGTATCTATACCTCCGCCAACGCGGAGTGCTGGTAATCCTTTAGATCCACGATCATAATACCGTTTCTGCCTAAGCATTCATTTTCCCAAATGGTCATGCATCATCGCCGGGGATTGTGCTTCCGGTTGAAGTAGGATTTTGGTCGTGGCTAAATACACTTCTAACAGAGCTCACTCAGATTTCCGAAGACAGAGTGTTTCTTCGTTCCGGAAGCATGATATTCGGATCCATGTTCAGTTCTTTGGCTTTAAATAGTATTATCTTTGCATACTTACCGCTGCTTCCGCCATCCCGTTCGACTGACTGTGGTAAGGGCTGGTAAGCTGATGATCAAATTCCCACTGAAGGCTCGGAACTCCTCTGCAGTAAACTGAGCTCCGTTGTCTGATACCACTTCCTCAGAGATTCCATGTCGAGAAAAATGACCACGCAGCTTGTCTACCACCGCATGGGCACTGGCTGAATGCATTCCATCAATCTCAAAGTAATCATTGAAGTAATCCACCGTTATTAGGTAATCTTTTCGGTCCTGCTTGACCAGGTCAAACTGCCATGGCCTTTCTGGAACCTCTCGAAGCTCCATTGGTTCTTTTGTTTGTCCAACATTATGTGCACAACAAGTTGGGCAGTTCGACACTTGCCATCTCAGGCCGAAACACTAGCTCCCCTTCTCGTGCGACGCAATTGTTCGCTCCCAGGTGTGCACTACAAATCATCTCCAGCATGGTGCGTTCCATTGACTTTGGAATTAACACCCAGTTTCCTTTGAAAATCAAACTGTCTTCTACAACGATTTCACCATGAAAATAGAAAAATGGTGTCAGTTCTGCTGGCAAATTCCTCTTGTCCTCTTGTCATCTATCAGCCATTGTTCGTTCTAAACTTTGGCACACCTCATCTTCGGCCGTGACATGTCTCAGTTGTTGTAAACGCTCTCCGGCGACGGCGAGTTCCTCTGTCGCGTGAACCGTGTTGTTGTCCTTTCGCATTTCATCTGCAATGGTTCTCTGCAATCATACTCCCTAGCTGGATTTGATCCCCACTGCCTTGTGGGTCAGGCTATTGAGCCAAAGGCTCCGGGTGGAGTCCCTCAAGCGAACCTCCAAATCCCCCACTGCCTTGTGGTTCAAACTATTGTGTCGAAGGCTGGAGGTCGAGCACCTCTAACAAAACCACGCTCTCGGAATGGGCAGCCGTAGAGTATCATCTGCCCTCTCGGCCACGCCGACAGTTCTCCCTCTTCTTATTTCTCTTTCCTCTCGACTCTCTTCTTCTCCGTCTATTAAGCAAGAATCTGCCGCTGTCCTCGCTGCTACTGCCATTGATACTCGTAACTCGTCCATTAAACCACGTGTCCCACTCCACATTTTTCTTTTAACCTTCACATTCTGGGTGAGATCGGTCAACAGACATCACTGACTCTCAGTCTTCACTCTCTCGGTATTGAGGTGCGCTGTGTATCCGAAACACACATACAAGATAACAGCGTTGTGACAAATCTTCGACTCCCTGCTTCTGAATTTGACTACCACGACTACACACTTCGCGCCTACGGTGATACCGAGTCGATAGCTCAAGATGTTTACGGTGTTGGTATTGCCCTCAGTAAACATGGTGAAGGTAATCTAATCGATTGGATACCGGTGAACAGCCACATGTGTGCAGTTCGACTTCAAACCCCTATTGAAATTATGAAGTAGCGTCTGAAGCCAAGGTGCATTTTCATCGCCTCAGTTTATGCTCCTGCTGATTGCAGTTCGGAGGGTACCAAAGATGATTTCTACTACCATCTTCCATCTCATCTCCGTATGGCGAAGAATACTGACATCGTGATTGTTGCTAGTGACTTGGATGCTCAAATGGGCCGTCTTTCAGTCTCTGAACAACATCTGGGAGGGCGCTTCGGAGTCGTTGCCCACCGAACAGACAGTGCTGATCGATTCCTACAACTGTGCGCCGATCACAACATTTGCCTCATCAGCACTGGTTTTCAGCACAAACATACACACCGCGTCAGCCGGCGCCTGCCGATCCCCCCAGTGACCTGGACCCAAATGGACTATATTTCCATCCGCCACAGATAGCGCACGTCAGTCCAAGACTGTCTGTCAATTTGGAGCAGCTTTCTGGATTCCGACTATGCTTCAGTGCGCGCACGCTTGGCGCTCACTCTTCCCACTTCAAAGAAGCACCCACTCTTACCTGTAACTTGAACTCGCAATCTGCAATCCAACAATATCATGACGAACTACTCCACCCAATGTTAGTGATGAATGAGGTTGGTGAACCGAATGCTGACTGGGATTGTCTCAAGCGTGCCATTACGATTGCCTTTACCGCCTGCTGTGCACCCAATTTGAGACGTCGTGGCTGTGAATGGATTTCAGAGGCATCGATCAGCTTGGTCAAAGCACGGAAACAGGTTCCGATGGGCACTGAGTTTCAGCGCCTTCCTTACTCCCTGCAACACCGTTTGACAAGGAGTCTTCGAGTTAACCGGGAACCTTGGTGGGTTGCAAGGACCAGTGCTATTTGGAACAACCATGTGCTATTCCAGATCATCCGGAAAGCCACCAGTTATCGAGACAATAGCTGAGAAAAATGCACTGTTGTTTATTCTCAGCGTCGTCGACTAGCCCGTTGGGCGGAACATTTTCTGGAGCAGTTCAGCAGGCCTGCTGCGACACTGCTATTTGCCAAATCACCTGATCTAACGTGGGAAGTAGGTGTCACATCCTCCCACTTTGGAAGAGATTCGACATGAGCTCGCGGAGTTGAAACGATACAAAGCTCCTGGCCCCAGCGACCCTCCATCTTTTTCTGCAAGCTGGAGGTGACACTATTGACTAGACTCACTTCTCTAATTCACACGATTTGGACACTAAAAATGTGCCTTCGGACTGGCGACTGTCAACTGCCGTACTCACTTTCAAGAAGAGTCGGCGTACTTTTTGCGAGGCATTAGCCTTATTTCCATTGCTTCAAAACATCTCATGGATATCATTCTCCGACGGCTTACTGGTCCCCGTGAGGACCGAATCACTGAAAGCCAGGCTGTCACCCGTCCTTATCGTGGTTGCATCGACCACATATTTACTCTTCACCAAGTTTTAGAGCAGAGACACACATACAGACGACCGACTGTAGTTTTCCTTGAGCTACAAGCCGCCTTCAAGTCTGTTGACCGCGCAGGCTTGTGGCACTGTCTATCCATGAAAGGCGCGCCTGCTAAATTCCTTTCCACTGTGCAATCTCTCTACCATAACTCCAGAGGTCGCGAGTTCCCCACGACAAGTGGGGTTCTTCAGCGTTGTCCCACGTCTCCTTTCCTCTTCAACTTTGCGATCGAGATGATCATGAATGAGTCCGTTTTTCCAGACTTTTCCGAACTGGAAGTTCTGCAAGGTGACCGATTGACAAACCTGGAGTATGCGGACGACAAGGTTCTCCATTGGTGTGATGCATTATCTATGCAAACACTATTGGATAGACTGACGCGTAGCGCCACATGCTTCGACATGTGCTTTGCACCTTCAAAGTGCAAAGTGTTGTTGCAGGACTGGA